ATATAATCATTTGTCTCCAAAAAAAAAAAAAAAAATGTTCTTAAAGATAGATTTATTAACTTGATTTTTATGTTTATTTTCAGCAACAGCTGATCTCATTAGGTCTAAATATGCAAGTTTAAAAAGAATGTCTCTTCATATTACATTCACAATTTTGAGCACTTAATCTTTGGGTTATTTGTAAAATGAGCCTAGCTTCCCAAAAATATAAACATAATTCACTTATTACTAAAGATTAGATAGGTCTTTTAATTCCTAATATGGGAGAAAGGGCTCAGTAGGTAAAAACAGCTTGACTAAAGTATTTAGTCATCCCTGATAACCATCTTTTTTTAATGACTTTTCTTTATTTTCTTTTTCAGCTCAGAGTATACTTGCGAACATCAAATCTGGACAATGCCTTTGCCCATGTCACCAAGGCACAAGCGGAAACATTACTGCTTAGTGTCTTCCGGGACATGGTAATAGTATTTAGAGCAGACTGTTCAATATGTCTTTATAGTATTGAAAGAAAATCTGATGGGTAAGTTGTAGCATATAAGTGACTTTTTGCTCCTGTTTATCCTGTTCATGTTTCCTCCATAGCTTTTATTTTCTCAAAACAGTTTTTTCACCCTTATATTTAATTTTCTCCACTTTAGAAGTCAAATGTAAGGAGTTTTAATTAGTGATGCCTATGTATAGCCATGAAAAAAGAAAAAGAAGAAAAATAGCCTGCACATAGTTCTTTAGCTAATCTGCCTGGGTTCATTTGGAAAAGAAAATATAGTTTTGTCTGAGGTATAAACCCTTAGATACTAAATTTTTTCACAATCTTGAAAATAAGTGGTTAATAACTATCCTAGTCTTCCAAACACTTAGAGAAACTTGAAGGAGTGCCATAGCTTTCAGGCCTTAGAAAGCATGTCCTTTGTAGACTCTTGTATTTCCACTGTAGTAGATGGTTGTAGTCTAGGGCAGGACAAAGCAAAACTCGTGCAGCTGCTGTATGTGGCCTTAACATTCTTCTTAGCATCTGGTTGACTCGAAGCTTTTAGACCACACCTCTTGAGTTTTATTTTGTTCTCACAGGTGTTTGAATAGCCATGAACTATGTATTTGCTGAAGTAGCACAGTGATTGGGGAATAATGCAGAGATAAAAATTAAGACATATTACTAGCCTCAGTAACTAAATTTTCATCCTCAGCTGACTAGGTATCTTTTCCTTTAAATATTTCTATTCTTTCTTCTTCCTTAGTATTTTTAGCTGACTAGGTATTTTTTCCTTTAAATATTTCTATTCTTTCTTCTTCCT